GCTAGCACCGACCGCCCGCTCTCCCCCAGGGAAATCCTGCGGCCGGCCGGGAGCGCTGCCCGGGGGCCGGATCCTGCCCCCCTCCGAGCTGCTCTTCGGCGCCCGGGCCCGCGTGCGCTGCCACGACGGGTGAGTCGGGGCCGGCGCTGCCGGGGGGCACCTTGATCTCCCCCTGCGATTCCCTTTTCATCCCATGTCAGCGGGGAAGTTTAGCACCCCCAGACACCCCAGCTTTGGGATAAGAGAGATTTTGCACAGGGAAAGGTCCATGTGTGGGTTCGAAAGTGCTGAACCATAAACCACTCGTGTTTGGGTGTTTCCAAGCTAGGAAGAAGAGGGGCCGGCGCTGCCGGGGGGCACCTTGATCTCCCCCTGCGATTCCCTTTTCATCCCATGTCAGCGGGGAAGTTTAGCACCCCCAGACACCCCAGCTTTGGGATAAGAGAGATTTTGCACAGGGAAAGGTCCATGTGTGGGTTCGAAAGTGCTGAACCATAAACCACTCGTGTTTGGGTGTTTCCAAGCTAGGAAGAAGAGGCACGAAATGCACTTTCTGCCTGTCAGGAACGTGACTCAGACTTTCTGCCTGCTGCCGCTCAGGGCCCGTCGCAGCGGGAGGCCGGGGCTTGGGAAATCTTGCTCACGATCCGGGAGCCTTCGTGGCGAGCGGGTTCTGCCCATCTGAGCAGATGTTTGGATGCAGCAGCTCTTCTTTCCAGACGCTCCTTAGGGTGGTCCCTGGAGAAGGGACAGCGCGTCCAGCCCCTCTGTGCTTTGAAACAGAGGTTCAGGGTGGAGGGATAACGTTATTCGCTGCAGTCATTGCATGGAAATGATGATTCCTTAGAACAGGGGAATGGAAGTCAGAGCCTGGGGAGAGGCCAGCACTTTAAATAGATTAAAAATGATTCCAGGCCAGCGCATGGGGAAAGATCTCTCCCTGTTTGACAGCTCTGCATATCTGCTTGCTTGAACCAGCCTTTTCCAGGCTACTAATCAGACTGGTACCAGGGGAGAACACGTTATTCTCAGCTGGACAAACAGCTCTTTTCTTGCACGGTTTCACCCAGGTACAGGCTACGCGGGAGGGATTTCATCCAGTGCCAGCTTAAAGGAGCCGACGTCGCATGGAGCAAGTTCCCCACTTGCGAGTGTAAGGCCGATCCGACCTCGCTTCTCCGTTCCAGGGATCCCTGCGTTCCAAGGGCTTGTTTGTTTTCCCTAACGTTATGGCGATGGGAATATTCAGCAGGTTTCTTGCAAATGCTGCAACAGAGAAAACACCCATTTTGCTGCTGAGACTGTATTTGAGCAACTCAGTTTTGTTCCCACAAAATCATGACTTAAGGTGATGAGATTTCTCAGAATCATGAACCGGGGCATGGCAACCTGCCTGCTTATTTTTATGACATCCAGAGTAAGGAGGAGACCTGAGAAGCGCTTCAGAAACCTGGTCTAAGCAATGCTGGTCTAAGCAATAGGCAGTGCAGCTACCCAGGAAGTTTATTCTCTCCAAAAGTCTTAGGAAAACTCTTAACACTTAAACATTTTGCATTTTAGTTATTCGTAAGGCTTTTAGAAATGCTCATTCTGGCCTTCTTTCATGCAGTAATTACCTGCTCCACACCACCTCAAATTGCCCATGGAAAACATGATGGTGAAGGTGTAGAAAAATTTCCTTATAACTCAACAGTGACTTACAGCTGTGATTCTGGCTTCCAACTCAGTGGAAACGTTTCCATTCGTTGTACAAGCACAGATAAAATAACCGGAGTCTGGAGTGGAGCTGCGCCTCAATGTGCAGGTGGCTATCGCTGGGTTTAGTCTTTATCGCGAGTTTAGTGTCCAGTCTGTCCAAGCTAAACCTATGGTGGTCGCCCGATTAAGCCATGCTGCAGTTCAGAAAAATGCATTGATACCAAATGGAGCATAGAATAAACTGTCTGTAAAAGGGCTAATGTAGAGCTTTTAGCATTTAGCTGCTGCTCTTGTTCTTTTTACCATAGAGAAAAGAATATCTGCCAAGCTTGCAGCACAAAAAATGGAAAAGAGCCCTATCCTCAAAGGTGAGTTGAAATGATTCTGTGTTGAATTAAGCTCCATGTTCCCAGATTTAATTAGCTGTTTTGTCATCTCTCTATGAAAAAGACATTCAGAGAATTGCATGCCATGAATTTCACTGTTTTCAGACTCCTACGGCTCCAGTAGCCAAGCATCTAAGAAGGCTTTCAAAAAGGAGATGAAAATCAACCTCTATAAAAAGTCACTCCAAAATACCATCTCCTCCTCCTATTCTTCCTCATTCTCCAAGGCACCAGGTCAGTCCTGCCGTTGTCTCCCAAAACTCCTCTGGGGTCGGGGGAATCGTGATGGATCCCAGTGTTTATTCCTGTCCCCACAGCTGCAGCATTCACGTTTTCACCTATTTCTCTTCAGTGTCAGGTAACTGCGTCACCTCTGCATTCAGATTTGTTGTACCTTTATATAAAAGCCAAAGTTACCACCGCCCAGCAAGCAGCCAAAGGCCTCTGTGTCCCCCGAAGTACATGAGAATTCCCAGCTTCCTGCCCCAGGCCAATTGCTTTGGAAACGTGAAATGGTCCAAAGTTCCGGCGCTTTGTGCAAGTGAGTGACTTTTTCTTCCTCCATCAGGGCTTCTTTCTCAGGGTTTCTTTGTATAGTTTGTGTTTTTCACTTGTGAGGTATCTGGTTCAGACATCAGGTTCGACTGTGTCTTAATAATCTTTATTTTGCATCTTTTTATTAAATATATTAATTATTTACTCTTGTATTATTTGGGACATGGCTTAGCCTAGTTCTTACCATACTCAAAATCAAGAGATAATTTTATATAGCTGAAACAATTGTATATAGCATTGGATTTTCTGTCCTCATCGTGGCAATATGAAATACTAACTCAAAGCCAACCCTGTTCTGTGCTAGCAAAGTCAAGGACAGCCAGGAGAAGCAGAACGTGGTGGAAATGCTGCTACAGCAAATTTCCAATTCGTTGCAAAGGAATGTTTTACCTGTAAAATGGGTGAGTGTGATGGAAATAGTATCCGAGTGGGGATATAATCATAACTAATAAGTAAAACAAAATACTGCAGGATCCAGCCATAGGACTGGAGACCTGTTGGAAAAATATTTCTCTGGTATGAGGGATAAACTGAGTTTGACCTTTCTTGAATCATGTCTCTGGCATCAAAGAAAATAAGGCAAACATTTTATTTACACACACAGACACACTTAGGCTTGTACCTGGGTGATTCTTTTATATATATGTAGAATAATCTCCTTTACCTGTTAAATGCAGGGTAACCGGACTGCTTTCTACCAGCCGCTCGTGTGCGTGCTCCTGTTGGAGAGATGTGAATAGGACAGAAGTTTCAGTGTTGTTGGGGAATGAAAAGAGCTTCAGAGAAGAGTTTCACAGGCTTAAAGGAGATGAAGTTTCACCATGTCAAGCCCTTGTAGTAACAAACGTAGGTTAGAAAGGTCGTAGATGATACAATGTGGAAGGAAAGTGGGGAAACTCGTGTTCTGTGTTTTGCTAGAAGTTTCCATTTTGCTCTGTTACGTCATTCCAGCATGGGCGTTAATTAAAATCTTGTTCTCTGGGTTTTTGTCCCTTTCAAACACTTCTTTTTCGCTCTCGGTGCCGTTCCAGGTCCCTCTGCCCGCCGGCAGCCTGTGGATCGACCCGGCCCGGGCGCCTCGTCCTCCCTCCCGGCCTCGGCTCCGCTCATCCCAACAGGCAGCCCCAAGCCAGGGCGACGGGAAAAGGGGAGCAGCTCCTGAAACCCCCCTCACCATTCCAGGGAGGAAACAGTTTGGGTATATCTGAAGTACAGTGCTAAAATTCCCCCTAAACTGGGTGATTTTCTCCTCCTTTGAAAATTCCGGGCAGGGATCTGGGAGCAGAAGCTCCTCAAAGCCCCGGGCTCATCCCGGGGTTGGTTGTGCAGCCGGTGGGACACGGGGCAGCATTGGGCAGGTTCCCCAACTGCTTCCCAGCACTTTATTTGTCCGAGGCTTCTCCCCAGCAGCTCTTCCTTGGGCATCGTGAATACAAGGATGCCTAAGGAAGCCGTGCGGGGTGATCCTCCTGCCTAAATATATCGTTCTCCTTAAACCCATAGCCCTGGGAGCCCAAAGTGTGTAAAACCCTCCCCGGGTGCTGGCAAAGCCCTCCAGGCAGTTGTCATCCTTGTTAGGGCTCTTACATTTTGCTCTCAGAGAAGAAGAGATTGGATCTGTCTCATGTATGCAAATAACCTGTATTTTTTAAATAATAGTATGTTTTAAAGTTCCATGAAAACTGTCTGGAAATCATCTGTGTAAGAGCTATCTCCCACGGTCGCTTCTCCCATCCGAAGTTTTCCCTCATGATGTTGCGGCACCCTCACAGCTCCCCGATCCCTTCCAGGCCCGGGGAGGGACGGCACCGTTTCTCGGAAGCCCCTGGACAATTTCCAGGGGATCTCTGTAAGGTCGCGCTCACTTTGACCAGGACTTTGCCTCGTCACGGGTTTCCGTGCCCGCCGGATGCCATAGCAATGAGCATAAACACCCGGGTATCTAACCCAGGCCTGAGTCACCCCCTCGGCACGGTAGGAATTCCTCGCTGTCGTTGCAGATATATCTACGCTAAACGTCAGCCAACTTTTGCTGCAGTCAGGACTGACTTACCCATCTTGCTCAACTGCTTTACTCCTCTTGCGAAGTTCTGTCCTCGTTTCTCAGGAAACCATAGCACCTCGTGTACCAACACGACTGCTGGAGGATCTCAGCCTTTTGAGACTTGCAGCACTTTCTTGAGCCAAATCCTGCTTTTCTATCAGCCCTGACTGTTGAATCTTGGTGGTTTGTGCGTGTTCGGGCTCTGGGTCTCCTTGTCGAGTGAGCGCCCGCGTGCACAGCAGCTTCGCTAGCACCAGCTGCGCCAATGAAGGGTCTTTCCACGCTGCTCCAAACGCCCGTTCTGCGCTGGGTGATGGTTACCAGCCTCGGGTGCTGCAGCATGGACTAACTGCCTTGTATTTAGGTGACAGCGTGAGTTTTTCTGTAGGTTTAAGAATAACCAGCGGCTGCAACACGAAGGGCAGCGCTCGCCGTCGGCTTTGCGTCCTCGTGGGCCCGTCCCGGCGCGGGGCTGGCGCGGGCCCCGTCCCGCGGCCCCGGCTGCTCCA